AGGGCTGAATACAGTGCAGTAACCAACAACTGATTTCAATGGTATTCTAAGAAATTTTTTTTTCAGTAAAAATTATAAAATCAACTAGGCAAATGAAGGGATTAAAACTTCTGCTTTTATTTTTGAGTATATCTAAAGTTGTCATTTCAGACAGTAGAATTAAGGGTTTGGAGTCTTGTTTCATTTAAATGAAAAAACTAAAAATGTCAGCATTATCAAGCTTTTTCTAGTCTGAGTATCTTATGGATAACAGCATTTTTCAGTAGTCAGGAAAAAAAACAGGACAACACATCAGGAACCACCACACTTAATCAAATTGAAAAAATCTGTCTCAATACTGAGCATCTGTACATGCTACAGAATTGAACATTTCACAGATACAGTACAAAAGCATAAACTAGGAAAAAGGAGAGGCTAACACATTGAAAACGTTTAATAGCTGAATAATGTATTATGAATCTACTCCAAAAAAAAGCCTGACAGATGCCCTAGCCCAGCCCACGGCTGCACCAGCAGAGGAGTCACCGAGTCCCAGGCCAGCTCCTGCCCAGGGATCCCTGGCGGGGTTGCAGAGGCTGCACCTCTCCACGACCCCGGGAAGCACGTTTGGCTTTCACTGAGTGCTGCTGTCTCCATCTGGCACAGCGGCCCCCAGGGCTCCAGCCAGCTGGCACCGCTCGGAACAGCCTTGGGGCTGCTCTGCACTGCACAAGGGAGGAGGCCAGAGGAAAACCAGCACCATAAAGAGATAATTTACAGTCCCATTATCCCATCATCCTCAACTACATGCAGCAGGAGCATGATCTAGGCACATGCCCCACGACCACATGCTTTAAACCAACAAAAAAAGTTACATCAGCTTACCAGAGTTTGATTATAAAATACGGAAATTTTAACTTAGAGACGGGCCTATTAAAGAGGGACACAAGTGGCTCATAACTTGATTACTTGGAAAAACACTATTCATTTCATTAAATTAAACATAATATGAAAAGTGGATTTGCTGTAATAGCTGATCACAGATTACAGGCATTCTACACTCCCTGATTCATTTATTTTTCACAAGGAAACTGGGGTAACTTATTTGCATACAGGACTAAGTTCCAACAATTGCAGACATAGGACAAGTTTCACGTATCAGGTTCAGCACACACCAGTGCATCACCTGTGAGAACAGCAGGTACAAGCACACCACTGAAGCACTCACAGGGGCTCCTTCACAGAATTTTTTTGATGAAGTAAATATTAGAAACTCTACAGAAGAAGTCACCATTAGGACAACACACATGGTCTGTCACTGGCACAGTCCAGAGCACAGCAGCAGTTATTATTCAAGCTGCCACATGCAGCCTCCCAGTGTCACTGCTCAGGTTGGTGAAATATCAGTAAGAGGAGGAAAAAAATAATTTTCATCTTTATCTGCTCTTTCTGGCTCAGGGCACAACCACACAAACATGACACAGCAATGGTACAACAGCAGGAATGTGCAGCCCAGAGCTGGTAATTCCTTACACTATTAAGGAAAGGCTTGTTCACCCACAGCTGAAGAGCTGGATTTCATGTTCCTCACTCAGTCTCCATGATAATGCACAGAAAAGTTCAAATTTCACATCTCTTGCTTTTCTCTGCATTCTTCTCACCCAAATCGCTTACCAATTCCATCATGTACTTGTGCCTCACTGGAACCCATATCTATAACTAGGTTCCAAATTTCAATTCAACATTTTAAAACTTGTCACATTTGCTAACTCACCTTCTCCTTAGCATCCTTTTCACCACTGCATGAAAGAACTTGTCTGCCAGTTTCAATGTACAGGTACAACATACTTACAGAGTTAAACTTTATAAAGAATTTCTGTAATAAAGTAATTCTCCAGGTTACTAAAAAAACTGGAGTTCTGCTTTTCTACAGTCAGATTCTTGCAGTACATGGCCTAAGATGGACAAAGAAAACATCTACTCCCCAAAACCTCTCAATAAGGACATAATTATTGCAAAGAGATGCAGAAAAGAAATTTAATTTATTGGGGTAACACTGGAACTTGCACAGCAAGGAAAGTTCTAAGTAGCAGAACTACTATGTGACAAGGAAATACATCACAAAGGGCAGCAGGATAAAATTATGCTGAAGACAGTATAAGATAAATTTCCTTAGGGAACAGCCTCATCATGACAGAGGAGAGTCTTGTTCTTCTTTATGCACAGAACTGCAGGAACTCTTGGAACTATTTTCACTGCATTTCTCATCCTGTTCTCCACATCAAGATCATCCCGAACCAAAACCACTAAATGTAGTCATGAGTGACCGAAGAACTGAGTGTTCATCATGCAGACAAACATATCCAATAATAAGCTCTCAGGAGGGGATGCTTGCTGAGAGCATGGCAGAAGTCAGCAATGCAAAGAGGCCAATGTGAATGAGAGTTTCACCCTGGTCACCAGCTGCCAACAGGACAGAGATCCATTTAAAAGCAAAACTGGGCAATAATATGAAAATAATGAAGCACAGCAAAGAAAAACATCAAACCTTAAGACAAATTTTGCATTTGTCCCTGGAGGCCAGAGGGTCACAAAAGCTCACCTAACACAAACGAGGCACTGAAATCAGTCAGCTATCTCAGCTGTCTGCACTTACCGAGCTGTCATACATTTGCTGTGCAATAAATCTCACCTTTATTTACCATGTACATTGTAGACAAGGTCCCTTAAAATCTCACTTGCAATGCAGTAACAAGACTGATTGCAGAGGACAGAAGCACAAACTGTAATTAGACAAACTCTGTGAAATAACATCAGGTTGTACAAAGACACAAAGAGGGAAAGATACTTTTTAAGTAGAAGTTGGCAAGGGGGAGGTAGGCAAAAATAAAGCTTTTAAACTGCTCCTTTCTCTCCTTGTGCTGATAAACACTGAAGTAATTCAAGTCTGTACTTGATGCAAAAACAAAAGCCCTTTAAAAACAGAAGCAAAACATACATATAAAAGCCCTGGCAGTCAATTCAGTGAGATGAATCCAAAGCCAAACCCTATTTAAAAGGGGCTACTTGGATGCATGAACTTCTGAGTGAGTGACAAGCGAGGCAAATGGACCTCGGTGCCACATGGGTGTTTGATACTCCATCGTGCCCATCACCAAACTACAATCAAATAGTGCAAGCTCTTTTATGTGTTTAAGAAAAATAAAGGGACTAATAACTAGGTGATTTTTGAATATACTACTTTTTAAAACTATGGATTAACACATGGATGAAAACTTGGTTTAATATTCTAGGGAAGATCTGCAACACAGAACTCCAGATGAAGGCACGAATGACAAAGGGGAGATTTTCCAATGATCTCTTGAATGAGATGTAGATTTATAATCTCTGCATCTTAATTTTGACTCACTGAATGTATGAATAGTTACATTTTCACATCTCACATGTATGTGCAGAAGAGCTCAGCTTTGTGTTCAAACCAGCCATGGCAAAACCAGCTTGGTACAAGGACAAGACCATTTAAGCTCAGTCAAATCCCAGTTCTCTCTTCAGACTTACTACTAAGCAGTGTCAGTTAGTGAGTTGCCTCTCACCACTACTTCAGATATGAGGATATTTAATGTATTTGTCACGTTTAATGTCAGAATTCGAGTCAGGATATCAAAACTTGCACTAGCCTCAATAGTTACATTAAAAAGACACTATATTGTGAGTAGCGTTGAAAACAACTCTTGTTACCAATACCCACTTTTTTCTCTTTCTTTCGAGTTTCACCTTGTCTAACACCCAATTCTTTTATTCAATGACAAATTTAGTGCACTGTAGATTTTCATAGATATATTTCCCACCAGGGATATGCTGACATCACCAGTGATACTATGCAAGAGGTAGAAAAGAAGAGCCACGTTAATTTCAAGCTCCATTAAACACAGGAAAGGAAGAATAAGAGGAGGGGAAAAAGTTCTCTTTACCAACTTTAAAAGTAGCAGAGACAGGCAAAAAAAAAAAAATCATGGATTTTACATTAGTGTTACATATCACTGAGAGGTTTTAAGAAAATAAAACCAAACCTTAAAGAACATTCTACTTAAGTCGAGTATTTGCAGTATTCCACACACAAAAGAATGTGACAGGACAGACTGCTTGCTGCTAATCAGTTATCAACCGATAAAGTGAATCTCAGGTTACTTTGAGTCAACCGGTGTCTGGTAACAATTCACTTTACAGATCCTCAAATAGGTCTTGAGACAGAAAAAATGATTCTTTCTCTTAAATGAGAGAGATCAGCACCATGGCAGCTGCTCCAGCACTAAAGTAAACCACAGATGGTTCTTGAGCTGCTGTGCCAGTTGCATTATGTGGTCCCACTCCCAAACAGAATGCAGGTTAATTTTGCAAGGAGTAACTCTCTACAACATTGATTCTATTACCAGCTAATGCAGCAAAGTTCTTAGCTTGAATTAAGCCGAGTGTACATAAAGGACTGCCAAATCAATATGTAAGAGAATACAACTACCAAGACAGAGCTTTCATCCAGTCAGAACAGATCTATCAGCTTCTAGAACTGTTTCTGCTAAGGAAAGGTTCCCAATTCAGGCCTCTCAGATAACATATGGCTCTCCCTAAGCTCCAACACTGCTTGCTGACAACACAGTCCAGGATAACAGAATAAACTGTAATGTCATTATAGCATTTCACTCACTTGCCCCACTGGCCACAGGTTAACAAGAGACTGGAGACAGTGGCTCTAGGCAGCTCTTTCTGTCCAAGTCTAGAAAGGTTCTAACAGTGGTTCTTTACAGGGTGGGGAAAAAATAATTTATTTTTTAATAATGTTTTGAACAGGCCAGTGAAATGCATACGGGTCACCTTCAAAGTGCCTTTCTCCTGATGCCACTATACCTGATGTATAATAAGAGGACACATGTATCTCCTCACCTTGGATGCTGCTGCAGGCTACAGACACATTACAAATACTTGGACAACCATGGGAATGCAAGTAATAAAAAACCCAGACCCACCTTTTAAAGCAGCTGTCAGTCAAGTGAAATGGAAAGGTGTGGCTGTTTAAAAAAAAAAAAAGCCCTATATTTACCAGGAAAAAGACAAAAAGAAGCCAGTTTCTTCATAAGAATTCGTAGTTCATAAGAATCCATAGATCTGCACCTGAACAGGAAAAACTGTGGGTGCTTGGTTTAATGTGGGAAACACAAGGTTTTGAACCGAGTTAATCTTTCCTGGTTTAAAACAAATCAGCCACCACTGGGAATCAAACTAACAGTTGCAAGAGCATTTGTTAAGAAGAAGGATCCCCAGAGTCCATCCCAAAGGAAAACACTTTTTTTTGCTCAACTCAAGGAGCAGTAATTCAGGAGAAGGGGAGTCAGCAATTCACAAGCAGAAAACTTCCACTACCAGCCAGTAACATTTGCCTCTAAATTTGTTACACCAGTTACCGAAACAGAAAATCCTCAAATGAAAGGAGGAGAGTACAAGGTTTGCAAGCAATTTGCAGCTCTGGTTTCACCTTAACGCTACAGATTAAGGCTTGAAACAAAAATGAGGCTATCACCTAACCTTTGTTTGGGGTTTAAAGCTCTGACGGCTTAAACTAAAGCTCAACACATAGTCCAGCAAATCAAACAAAGCCATTCCACCCTGCTCACCTTCACACTACTCACTGTCATTTCAGTTTAAAAGCTTTCAGCATTAAGCAAATAAAATCGTTGAATGCAGACAAAATTAAAGAGATGCCACAACTACTCTGACAAGCAGCTTGGCTAGGAGCAAACCTTTGACTGCTGATAAGACCACAGAAAGAAAGAAATAAGCCTTCTTGTCCAACATATCCCTATTTTTTCCATCATCAGCTTGTGCAGCTCTATCTTCTTGCTCTACAACAGGGAACAAACACAAGTAGGGAAAAAACTGCATTTATTGTCTCTCTCATCCATGTTAAAAAACAGAAAAGTTCTGATGGTTCAGATCCCACAACTTAAGAATTGCTATTCACCACCTTCAAGTTCACGGTGCAAGACTAATTCCTAACCTTTGGCCCAGAAACCTACAAGTGATTTAAAAAAAAACACGGTAGAGGATACAAAATAAGGATTAACACCACTAGGAAGAGGAAGGTCTCCTATTATGTTCTTCAGCACCAGAGACATAAACTCAGTGGAGCATTCTCAATTTGGCACGTCTCACATACACAAGTTTCTGCTGGGGATGGAGCTACAATCTCATGTCTCTCACACAAAAGGTTGTGTCTTCACACTGAGAGGAAAGAGAACGTTACCTTCAGCAGGGCTAAGGACCTTTTTAATCCTTAGTGGTTAAGAACTAAGGAAGATTGCTCCGGTATGAAACTGGAGACCTCCTGAACAATGAAGCTTGCAGTTGACTTTGACACTTCTCATGGGATTTCAGGGAGAAGGCAGGTCCCACAGCACATGGCAAAGCAGAACATCCTTCCTGAGTCAATCAGACAGTTCACTTAGGCAGCCAAAGCAGAGTACGCAGCTGAAAAAGAGACACATGCTTCTTGAATCCTGGACTCCTCTTTCAAATGTTCCACAGGATTTGTAATCCAGAAGTTTGGTGCACACGCTAAAAACGTTAAAGAAAAACAAGCTAAGATTTCCTCATTAATTTAAGCAATCCAAACACCGAGCCTGAGAAGGTGGCACAGCCTGGTGAGGTTCCTGGCCTGTCTGATACAGCACGAAGCAAATCACCTAAGCAACAGCTCCCTGTTCCTGGACAGGTACGTGGGGCAAGGCCCTTGGAGGGCAAACGTGCCTCAACAGGCACGAGATGAGAAGTTCCACCAGCAGCTTACCCTGAAGACTGCAAGGTCACTTTAGCAAGAACATGACACACTGATTTAGACTGTGAACCACAATACTTGCTACTGAAAACATGACACGGCAGTTATCTGCTAAGTTGTTTTAAGCTTCTTCTACTTTAAAAGTTAGGAAATGAACCAAAGTCATTTCAGGTTTAAGTCTAAGAATTGATTATCTGTCAAAATATTACAAGGAGCCACACAAAGTCACAAGTTCATGGGGAGAATGATACCTGATGAAAAGTCATCACCTACAAAAGCAAATGTTTCTTCATATCTGAAAAGACCAATTGGTCTGTAGGACCCATGTAAAGAGAGAATAATGGGAAAAACAAGATAAGCTCTCCAACAGGCAGAAACCCCAGAATGCAGCTGCTGTCAGTGAGAGAGCACAGCCCCTGACAGGCAATTATTCTTTGATCTATTGGCTGAAGCACTGAACAAACACTCTGAAATTCCACACAGAATCTTGTGCATATCACGACTGTGGTCACAATGACCAGTTTACTTTTATCATCAAGAGTCTTTTCAGGGTAGTGATAGTAAGAACCATTCAGAACGAGACAGTTTTCCTCCAAGGCATATAATCTAGGAAGAGGGAATTTAATCATAAATTCAGTTGCCTTTCCAGCAATGAAACCACTACTTACCAACTCCTGGACACAAAGATGCATCTACATGTGTAATTGCTCACTGATGGGGACAAAAGCTACATTCAGCACTGCAAAACAGATTTTTCTCATCTATAATTCTAAAGGAATAACACAAGTGTTTCAAGTGTGACCCTACAGAAAAAATGGAAAAAGCTGACACGAAGGTCTGGCACAAGCCTTTTCAGCATTCTCTGTCTGCTCTATAATTCCTGAATGGGGAGTAGTGGTGACAAATTTAAGACCTCTTCTGGAGTGTTACTTAATTAAGTGTGAGGTAATTTTCACATCAAAATATTCAAGGTAAGGTCCATGGCCTACAGAAACATGAGCTTTGCCATCAGGTTATTAAACAGATTTTAACCACAGCAAATTAAAAATCAAGAGTTACAAGTCAAAGTCCCAACAATGACACAGTCCACCTAATTTTGTGTCACTTTACACGCAACTTGAGCCCTAAAACCTAGTTCCAACTTTTAATCACAATAACTACAATTTCAAGAATCAGTCTTTGGATTTCTCCCTCTTCTCCTGTTCCACTCACGAGCATGACAGTTTTGTCTTTGCTTGGGCTTCACCACCATCAACACAATTACACCACAGCAAGCCCTGTGCCTAGAACAGCTTGTACGAGTGCTGCACTTGAGTTTGGCCAAGATGCAGTGAGATGAGGCAAGTCACAGCCTCACTCCTCGTGTGGATACAACAATGCACCGTGATGACAGCTCCAATCCTGGCATAGCCAACGCTTCGGGAGCAAAAACACTGAAAATCTTCACCACAATCCCAGCGCCTACAAAGACACATAGATCATTGCCCCTTGGTTCTGACTGAGGATTGAAATATATGTTCAGGTGACAGCTTTCCCACTATAAACCAGGCTTTAGAGCCATTCTGCTGGAAGCACTGGCTGTAAAGCAAACTGAAGCACGAGCTGGAGCTCGTAAAAGCTTATTCACAGAAAAGGTGTGTATTAAAACCGAATAGCACAGCACTAAAATGGTCTGCCAAGGCAGAATGCAGTGTAGGTACAGCAAGAGAACGGACCCTTTCTGCCCCCTGCAGTTCCCACTGCTCCCTGGATTTTTAAGACAGGCTTAGGAGGAATAGTAGTTACCATTCCAGAACCAGAACCATTTACATCTGGCTCTCGCCAACAGCCAAGGCATTTTTTGAACCTACCTTCATGTGAACAACAGTTAAATTGCTCAATGCTTTCCATAAAGATAAATTACATATATGGACTGTTTCCTGTGATAAACATATAATGTGACGGCCCTTGATCATGCAATAAAAAGAGTATCACTTGCTAATAAACCTTTAATTTAGCCTCATCATTTTTATGATTAGGATTAAGAAGAATCTTCACCAATAAATAGGTGCTTTTAAGCAGTCACAGCTTGCTCCTGGAATATATATACAAATATACATAATATATGTATATGTAAACTAATAAAGGACAAAGGATTGTTTTCCAGTTATATGGACTATCTAGGTAATTTTATTTCTGGTTATTAGACTATAAATATGCCAAACAGAAAACATAATTTTTCTCATTTTACATGTAAAACTGTAAGGCATATATACGGACAGGGAATTTCAGTGAATTAAAATTCCATGGAAGAAGGTCTCCTGAGCATATACATAAAGGGTGAATACAGTACCATAACTGTCATTTACAGACTTTCTTCAATCCTTATGAATACAGACAGGGAATTGAATCCAAATTTAGCTACCCAAATTGCTCCCCTATATTGATCATATACACCCACATATTTCACGTGGGCTGGATTCAGAAACCCAACTGTTTTCATACTGGCAACCTGCTTTAAAAAAAAAAAAGTGGAGGGAAAAGCATTTTTAGCATGTATTAGGAAAACTGGTGTTTTCCCTAGGCTGACAGATAATTTTGAAACAATCCTGTTCTGCTTTATGAGCCTGGCTGTGCAAAGAGGAAGTGAGAACAGATTGATTACAATGGAATATTTTGTATTTCCAGCTGTTTTCTTGAGCAATGATAAACACATCCCTATATTAGATTTCGGAAGGAAAAAGCTGTTGCAGCACACAAGAGGTATGCAGGTTACACAGGATGCTCCATATTTAGAAAAAGGTAATTTTGCCAATGAAATTTTATTTTCATTCTTCCACATAGCACTTGCTTTATATTTGTCTGATACATCTTCATACCTCACTTGCCATTTTTTTCTTCCATAGCACATATGCATTTTTTTCTCCATTTAAGCTGAAAGCACCATCTACTATATCCCAATTTGTATTTTAACATGCTATAGGCTAAATAAACCCAGATTTTGACTAATATACTTGACCTGTGTATAATATATATAATAATGACCAATAGAATATTGACCCGTAGGGAATTGTAAGATATTTAAAACAAGTCTAGCTATACTTTGCAGGGCTATCATGTAATTGAATCCACTTAAAACGTATTTCTTCTCTGATTCCATTTTTTCCTCTTTAGGTAAAAAAATTGGGAAATTGGATTATCCTGAGAACGTGAACTGAACACAGAAAAATGGTTCTGCACCTCACCCTTTTAAGTCCATCCTTCATGCTCTAGTTCTATCACAAATAATAAGCTGAGCAGCTTAATGCAAAGCACTGGGATCAGAAAGTTTTCAATGGGTTGTTTCAACAAAAACACAATCCGTGCTGTCCCAAACCCCAAGTTTTGCTCCGTGTAGCTGCTGCCTTCCCCTCCTCAGTCACCAATGCGACGACTGACAGAAATCTGCCAAGTCACTTTGAAGTAAAAACTAGTTGATTCTAGGGAAAAACAGTAATTAGTTGCACAGTGCAGACAGAAGCCCTCCAGAAACATGCATTTGTAATAAGGATGTTATTATAGGAGATAGGTGGGGGAAAGCACTCTTCCTGCTTTTTGCCTGGTTTACAGGGATTTTTTTCCAGGCGCCAACAGCTCCCAGAGCAAACCCCTCCTGCCCTTCCCTGTACTCCAGGCAGAGCTGGTTCCTTGCCCCCCGCCCCACCAGAACAGGAATCCCCTTTTCCCAGTGCATTATCAGCACGAGCAGCTCTTTTCTTTTTTTAAGGAAAAAGACACATATAACCGAGCGAGCCGCAGCTCCCGGCGCCGGGACCCGCTCCCAGCCATTGTGCTCCGCGCAGCCCCCCGGGCTCGGGCGCGGCCCCGCGGGGCTCCACAAAGCTCCGCCACAGGCCGGACGTGCCCGGTGCCCCGGGCCTCCCCTCCCCCCGGTATTCCGGGAAACCTCCGGGAGGAGGAGGAGGAGAAGGAGGAGGAAGCGGCGGCGCTGCGGAACAGCCCCGCTGCGGAAAAGCCGCCGGGGCAGGTGGCAGAGAGGGAGGCCCCACCGGGGCTGGTTCCCTCCTCCATCCCGGTGCCCCCCCTCGCCATCCCGGAGGCACCGAGCGCTTCTTCCTCTCTCCCCCCAGGACCGCGTGCGGGAGCTCGGGCCCACCTGCCCCGTGGGGAGGGAAGGAGGGAGGGCTGGAGGGGGACCGGACCCGTCCCCTCCCCGAGGCGGCGGCGGGTGGGTCGGGGAGGGAGGGAAGGAGGGAGGGAAGGGAAGGGGGGTGGATGCGAGCCGCCCCCGGTACCTTGCGCTTCCTGGTCTCGGCCGAGCCGCTCCACACGAAGCACTGGTAAATCGCCCGCAGGTTCTGCTTCCAGTTCTCCACCTTGAAGCCGGTCACATGGCAGCACCCGGCCGCCGGCGGACTCATGTCAGACCCCCCCACATCAATCCGCCCGCACACGGGCCGGGCTGGCGGGCAGCGAGCCGGCCCCTTCCCCCGCCCCGCAGCACCGACACGGGCCGGGGCCCCCCCGCCCTCAGGGGCTCCGGCCCCTCACGCCGCCGCCGCCGGGGAGCCGCTGGCACATAGAGCCGGGGCTCCGCCACGGCCCCCCGGCTCCGAACAAAGCGCGGCGGGCGGGCAGCGCGCACTCCCTCCCGCCCTTCTCCCGCACACACAAAGATGGGGCGCTCTGAGGCGAGGAGAAGGAGGAGGCGGCGGCTGTAGCGGCCGCTGCCGCCCCCGGAGTGGCCGCCGCTCCCTTCTACCTCATAGAGGCCGCTGTGGAAGCGGCGGGCGGAGGGGAAGGGAGGGGATGGGGGCGCTGGCGGCGGCGACCCTGGCCGCGGTGCGAGCGGGCGTGTGTGGGGAAGGGGGCGAGTCCCCGCCCGCCGCCGCTCCGGCTTCCCCCGCCGGCGCCCGCACGGCTCTTGTCCCTTTAAACCGCCCCCCCGCCTCCTTCGCCGGCTCCTTCCTCCTCCGCCTCGCCCGCGCCCCCCCCGCCCGCCGCGAGCAATGGTCCGAGCCGCTCACTCAACCCAGCCCGCCCGGCCCGGAGTGGGATAGACCAACGGGGAAGGTGCGGGAGGAGCACCCCCTCTGCCCCGCCGCCCGCGAGGGAGGGAGCGGCGGGGGGAAGGAGCGCGACGATTGGTGCAGCTACATGTCAATCTACCCATCCCTACTGTCTCATTGGTTCCTTTCCCTTTCTTCTCTCCCCCTCCACCCTTCCTACCTAGCATTTCCCCCGCCGGAAAGAGGCGGGACATTCCCAACGATTGACAGATTAAATGACCAATTAAAATAAGAGGTGGGGTCTATGTTGTGGGGGTGGCGGTACGATTGGTTGGGATGGGCGTCATTCATGTTATAAACAGAGAGCGGATTGGCGGCGGCCTCGAGGGGGAGGTTCCTCCCAGAGCAGACTGCGCTGCTGTCACATCCGCTGGTCCCGCTCTCGCTGTTCCCTCAGTGGTTTCCTGAGGGAAGAGGGATCTCCTGAGGGGAGAGGGATTGCCGGGCTCTGGGAGAAGCTCCGCGCCACGCTCCGACGGGCTGCCAGGACCATATATGGTCCCTCCATACCGCCTGCCTGCATCCTGGTCTTTCCATAGGGAAGAGACAAAAGCGGTGTATAAGCAGAACTGGTGTTATTTCAGCTTTTTCCTATACAAGGAAATGGGAAGACAGTGAAAAATGTTGGAATCTGTACATAGTTTTCAGCTTGTATACCACACACACTATAGGGTTACATAATGGAGTGAGGCAGGAGGGAAAGGATGGGAATTATGCTGTGGTTTCGGAAGAGAGAGACCGGAGGCTTTGCAGAGGCTTCTTAGACAAGCACTGCAAACACTGTGCAACAAGGAAATAAGTGGTGAATTATCTCACCAATCCCATTTTTCAGTGCGTGCTAATCACATTCCTCGGGAGCTGTAACCTTGAAATCTTCACCTTGCAGATTTTCATACAGTGTCCAATTTCCTTACCTGCTGCTGCAGCTTGCAAGAAATAAATACAAAAATTTGTGACAATCACCTGAGGGCTTTCCATTTCCTCCAGAGGTGCTGCTGTGTTAAAAAGAAAGCAAGTTAGGTAGTAGGAAACTTAGTTTATGATTTGTATATAGCTAGAAGGTTTGGTAGCAATGTAGGACTAAGAAAAGAGCTGGGTTTGTGCCCCCAGGCTGAGGCAGCAGCAGGACGTGCTGTCCTTCTGCGTGGGACACCTGTAATTGTTGCATCTCTTGGCTCACACTGATTATTAGACTCTCCCAGAAATCCCTCTTCCATGCAGTCTGGGGATTATGCTCCAGTAATAAACCTGGAATTGCCCCACAGGTGGAAAAAAAAAAAGATGCCAAGAGCCAGGAGAGGGCCTGATTATCCCGCTGTGTACACAAATTGCGCTGAATGTTTCAGAAGATTATGAGTGGAATGTGGAGGGAGGCTGTACCCTCTCTTTGACCCTATGTAATCATTAGACCTATTAAGTCATCAAAGTGCAGCCTACACCTCCTTGGAAAGGGAAAAATTGGTGCTGCACATCCTTCACGTGTTAACCCAGCTTGCAGGAGAATTAACCAGTTTTCAAAAGCAGGAGTCAGAGCCAGCCCCTCCCCTGTGAAAACCACCTAAACATCCCTCAGAAAAGAGGGAAGTAAAGGACTGCCAGCTCAAGGTGCATAGAAGGGAACAGGATGGGTGATTAGTGTCCTAACAGCATCTAATAATTATTCTCTGAATATTTCAAATTAAACAAAGTCCTTGATATTGCTACAGTCTAAATACAAGCAGAAAGTTATTCTTATTCTGCACCAACCTACTGTTACTAATCTGGGGCTTTTCTCCATGGCTACCACATCAAAACAGGAGATAAAGATAAAAGAGAGAATTTCTGCCAATGAAATTTAAGTCCATCTCGCTGAAAAAACAGGAGACGATACATATGTTCAATGTCCTGCAGACTGAAATTTTCACGGAGATTTCTATGCCACTCTGTCTTGCAGAGTCCCTGGATTTACTCCCTGTAGGGTGTGGTGTCTTATGCAGAAATAACACAAACTGAGTTCAAATGCAATTGTTTTAAGAAACACATTTTTTAGTGGTTCTCTCTCAAAGAGAAAACCTTTGGAAAAATACTGATGTCCCTCTCTGGCCATTTCCAGAACAATTAGCACAGTTAACTACTCCTGTCCTGGAGGTTTCTGGCCCGGCTGAGGATGTGAGGAGCATCCTATGAGCCACAAAGAACCCACATGGAGGACACCCATCCTGGACCACACCTGGTGAGACCCACTGTCATTTCCCAAAGGCAGCAATGTAGAAATTTAAAGATCAACTTAGGTGACATTTCCAAAGTATAGGTGTTACCTTGCAAACTTAAAGTTCCCCAAAGATACCTTATTCTCCATAAAAGGGGTTTATTTTTGCTAGAAATTCAGCTTGGGGTTCTTGTGGTAAATTGGAACCGGAGTAAGAATCCCCTTTGGAACAGTGTAGAAGACAGTGGCTTTTGAGATTTTTTGAGGCCAGCTCCTGATTTGGGGGGCTTGAGGCAAAACTCTACACGTGTCATTAAACCCCTTGCTTTCTGTCCTGTGAAGACACTAGAATCTTTCCTATGAAATATAAAAACTTCCAACCCTACAAACACTTCTTGATTGTTGCAGCCCACACACTAAAGGTGGCACAACAGCACAGAGTAGCAGCCAAAACAAAACAGGAGTGGAAAATAGTGACAACATTTTGTCAGGCTGTAGTTGTTCAAATCAGGGCCTTCTTGCTGCACACACACACATGAGTTTACAAGTTTGCTGTAGTTTAATTTACTCTTGGGCATAGCTTGGGAATGTTTCTAGAATAAAACCTTTTGGTGCAGCAGATAGCTTGGGAAAGGATTTGCCTCTAGGGGAACGAAATAGTTTCAATCCCTCCTGTGTCTCTTGGAAGAATTTTTAATTTTAAAGCATTGATGATTATGCTAATTAGTGCTTACCCTCAAATGCCAGTGGAATATAAATGTTGATAGTAGCTAAAACACACTGCAAATGTGCAGCAGAGTCTTCCTCCAGAGAGTCATCTGCATTCCATGATAGCTCAGCTGGGGAGAAGCAGTGTTCTTCACATGGAAAAGCAAAGTAACTGCCTCTTCTATCCATGTCATCCCAAGGTGGCACTTCTAGGCTTCTCTGGATAGCCATGAATCAACTGGTACCTCATCACTTGGGCATGCTTTGCCATGATATGTGTTAAAATGTTCAATTTAATTCTCAGGTACAGGAACCTTTCCCTTTGATCAGGTGTGTGAGCAAGGATTTGGGTAGGATTCCTCCCATAACCCTGGAGTACAAGTGGAGCTGGCCTAAGTTTGGACCTGCAAGAGGCTGAAGCCCCTGGCTCCACAAGTGGATTTGAAGGGGGATGTTCAGGAGCTTTGCTCCTGCAAGCTCAAGGGCTCTCCATGCTAATAACCAACACAGAGTACGTGAAGATTCCTCAGTACCTCTTCTGCATTTTTTCAAGCACTCTAAAAAATACAAGTTCTTCCACATTCTAAAAGGAAAGAACTTAGAGAACAACTCCACTTACCAAAACACACAGAGAATAACATTTTAAAGCCTAAAAGGAACACTTTTACCTCTTAAAAATGACCCTATT